GCAGAAAAACCCAGGGGTCCCCCCAGCCTTGGAGCCTCGGCCACCGGCGCTGCCAGGAGCCACCTGCTCTCCGAAGCGTGCTCCAGGAAGGATCGGGCAGGGCTTCTGCCCAGGGGATTTTCCACAACCTCCGGGAGCAGCACTGGCAAGCTGGCCTCGCTTATGGGGGTGAAACCACAGCTGACGGCACAATGCCACCAAAGCCAGTTCCCACTGGGTGGCAACTGGTTTCCAGCAGAAGACGGGGGCACGTCACTCCCCTGGGTACCCCTAGGTCTTCCTCTCCCAGGGGTCTGAGGCTCAGTTCCCACAGAGCACACGGCTTTTCCTGTGCCAGCTCCTGGGAATCGGAGTGGACGCCGACCGCGGCCGCAGTGAAGTCATGCAATATGGATGGTGGAACAGTTCTTGCTCCTGATTGCAGCCGGGTTAGCCCAGAGCGGTTTCCCCGCAGTCACTGGAACGCCCAGATTTGCATCCACGGGATATTTTGGCTGGGTGCCCTCCACAATCCCCTGAGTGCGGTCGAGCGGTGGGCAGCGGCGTGGGCAGCAACGTCCAGCATCTGCACAGGGGCTCGGCGGGTCCCAGATCCCTGGTCCATGGTGGCTGCCAGGGAGCACGATCCGGGGACATCGAAAGATCCTCTCAGCTCCCGAAGCAGCCTCAGCTGCCAGGAACCCAGCAGATCACAAGGCACGGGTCTGCCCTGCTGCTCCCTGTCTCCGGTTTGGAGTGGAGCCGAGCACCCTACCTTTGAGGACGCCAGTCCTGACCCTGCTGACGTCCAGGGGCATTTCAGCGCTGATTTACGGCGGCTGGGCCTCTCCCCAGGGATGCTGGTTCCCATAACTGCAGTGCTGCCATTTACTCATGCTTGAAAACCAGCGTGAGGCAGACACGGAACTGGGAGCTACTGATAGCTCCGGTGGACACTTGGCAAAAGCCCCGGCCTCTAGAAAAGCAGCGATGTTCGAGACACGACCTCCAGGAGCTGCAGACTGTGGAGGACTTGATGGCCATGCAGAAAGGGCTCCATCTCCTAAAAACCGCAGACATTAAAGCCGCAAGGTCCAAAGCCATAAGGGGCTAACTCTCATCACAGCTGTAATATCGACAAGGGATGAGCAATTAGCTCCTGTGTCACTGAACGTTACAGGCAAAGCCTTCCGTTATCTATTCATAACGAAAATTTCTACCCTTTTGGTTTTTCCTGGGAAATATAGAACAAATCTATGGTGCTGAATTGCTACTTCAGGAAATTGTGATTTAAATTTTATTCTATTTATAGAGTTTCTATGGAAACAGAGACAGCATTAGATAGGTAATAACTATAACCCCACAGATTTCTAGCATCAAGGGTACGGCACCCCCATCAAGGGATGCACAGCTAGACCTTCAGAAGGTCCAGGCGACAAGAAACAACCAACTCCCTTCCGTGAGGGCAATGAAAACAAAATAAAAGCGAAGCCAGCAATAAAGGAGAGGACGTTTCTCCAGCACCGGCGTGGAGGTGAAGCCAGCTGCCCTCAGGGGCCTCTTGGCCCAACAGCTCGATCTGGCAGAAATTCACCTTTTAAAAGCAACTCTCCTCAGGCCCTTTCCAAGTTTTCCTGAAAGAACCTTTCCTGGGCTCTGCAGGTAAGGCTCCCGGCGGGACGGTAAGGGATCGGCGTGGGAAAAAGGGGGGGGGAAGCAGAAGGCGGAATCCCAGCCCTGCTGCGCTGGGCTCGAGCCCCCAGCGGAGCGACGGCTTCTCAACACGCAGGCGTCTCTGTGCCGGGTTGTTGGGAGCGGTCACCAGGAACGAGCCGTGCTGCGACAGTTGCTGCAGAGAACCTGCTGCTGTAAAAACTCTGTTTTCTGATGTTACTTTGGGATATTATTGCACTTCCAAAGCAGAGGCACTTTGCTGGCACGAAACTGCTCGTGGCTCAGAACAGAGCGTCTGCACAGGCTATTTTGGAGCAGCTGCTGCTTTATAACTGAAGCAATGGATACAGAGATTAATTGCTCAGTGTAGACAGCTGTAAAACACTAAGATTAATCCAAAAATATCTTTACTTCTTTTGTCTTTTTCACCAATGCAGCCAGGCTCTCCCACTTGGCAGCTGGGACATGCTTCTGTGGACTTCAACGGAGCGGCTCCTGCCTCTCGTCCCCCGTGAGCGGATCAGTTCCCGCCGGCTGTGGGGGGGGCCAGGCTGAGCACAGCTCTGGGCTGACCACGGTCGCACTCTCTGCCTCCTGCTTCTGTCCTTACCCACTGATGGAGAGCAATCGCTAAAACGGGAGAAGCCAGGAGGGGGCTGTATGAACCCCCCTTGTACCCATCCCACCACCCTGCCTGCACCAAAGGCAGAGTCCTGGCCCCGTGGGGACACTGTGGGGACGAGCCATGCCTGGCCAAGAGCCAGAAAACCCCTTTTTAACCCAAACCATCTTGCAAGGAGACAGCAACTTGGATGACTGGTTTCTCTGGGATGCTGCTCTTTGGCAACGTCCCCTTGCCCACCATGGCAGGGATGCCCATCCCTCCCTGCCCCTCGGGCCGTGCCGGGCTCTCCAGGGCCGGTGTTCCTCCCGCTGCCAAGCGGCCATGCGGCCTGAAACCTCCCAGTTTCTCACTAAATGGCCTTTCAGCTCTGCCCCGACATCCAAACCTCTTACTCGGCTTTCAGGCACGCACGGAAGGGATCTTGTTGCCATGACCTTATAGCACAGCCACATGCTGTGAAGTCCTGCTCAATTATTATTACTATTAATTATTTATATCCCTGGTCCACCGGAAGGTCCCAGCCAAAGCTCTGCAGCCCTTTGGAGGCATTGCACAGA